TAGGGTTTTTCTATATAAGTGCTTTCTATCTAACATTCACACACTTTCAAACTCTGATGGATGCATCAGGGAGCAACTTAGGGTTAGTATCTTCCTCAAGGATATTTAGCATGCAGACTGGAGCAGCCAGGGCTAGAACCACCAACCATCCGATTAGCAGATAACCTGACTGCTCTACATCCTGAGCTACAGGATGGATCCTGGCTTGACTGATCTGTGTTGGCATGGTATACATTGACTTTTAAATGTCCCCCATTCCTAATGGCAATTTCAAGAACGCTAGTCTGTCATTTTTCACTTCCTCCTTGGTGAACTTGATATGTTTGTCCACTGAGTTAATTTGATCTGTGAATTGTTGTGAAGGTAATTTTCATACAGGTGTCATCACATACCTGAACCAATGACTCAGTGATATTCCAAGAGAGGACAACAGAGCCATGTCCTCCATATCAAAGTCAGCCACAATAGATGAAGCTGGGGAAGCTGGTCCTGTTGTCATGGGTGGGGTCACCCTACAATCTCTTACAAACTAATCTAATCTATTACCCTTTTCCTGTATTCGCCTCCAGGTTCTCATTTCGAGGGCTCATAAGAACTTTTGTCACTAAAAAGAGAAAATTTTCTCATGACAGTCTGTCTGGTCTAGTAATAGCATGCATCTACCCTCTTCTGCCGGAAGGATGATAATGTTGTCCTCACAGAACGATGTCAGTGTCTTCCTCACCACAATGCTAATATTCTACGGTAAAGCAATAAGTATTTAAGATTTGACTCTCATCATCCAGTGCCGAACAAACTGGGTGTCATCAGGATTCTACAACACAGAGCGAACACTGTGCCTGCAGACACAATGGTCAGGGAAGCAAGACAACATCGTATCAAAAAGGCTTCAAGTAAATGTGGTTAGCCCACTCCATTTCAAAAATTGGTCCAACCTAAGGATCAAGTGTCCATAGGTTGTCCTTAGAACAAACAGAGTAATAGTATAATAGTGTATTGTTGTGAATTATACCAATCAACCAGCTCTCTAAAAAGAAAACTTTAAACCCATAAAATGGAGATGAAAGGGCAATTCACTGATTTAGAAGACCGTTGATTGGCCCAGAAAACAGGTCTTTGCTCTATAAAAACACTCCTTCCCTGAAGCAAGACGATCGTAGAATTCCTCATTGAAAGACGACAGCAAGAATAATCCCAGATTTCTTCTCAGCACTCTAGCCTAGGTCTGTTGATTTGAGGATTCCCCTAACTTTAGCTAGTAATGACTTCATGAATTGCTTCACAATAAAATTGTAACAAAAACCCCCCAAAACATTTATATATGTACCTTTTAGACCCTATTTCTGTCAGACTGCTCAAATAGTATTTAATACTTAAACCATAAATATGATGAATTTTTATTAATGGTTACGTACCTTACTGTGCTTGTCTAGTTAGAACTCAGTGCCGCATTTAGTACCATTAACCACAAGATTTTACCAGAGAGATTAGAACGTACCTTTGGTATCAAATGAATTTTGCCACTGTAGTTTGAATCATATCTATTTCATAGACTCCAGTAGGGATGGGAATCTGAGCAGTCCAATTCCTTGCCCTACAGCTGATTTCAGTTTTTGTGTCAGAGAAGGAAAACAGTCTACACTGTCGATATGGACGTTACTTTTTAACTGCGCAAAACAATGAGAATGCAATGGTAAAGTGCTGCTCATGCAACTTTGGCTCTTTGCAAGCATCTGCATATACAGCAAGAACCCAGCCATGAACTTAGAGTGATATTAAAGCTGAGTGAATGCTGAACCGAGCCCATCAGCCAGACTCTGAACTTGAACAAACTGATGAGCAGTAAGGCTGCGGCCTCTGTTTCTAGCTGTTCGTGTTTCTTTCGTAGAATCACTGTGGCGATCCCTTTAAAGCCCCTTTGTGCTATTTTTTTTTCTTTGCCTGCTCTGTGTACTACTAATAGAAAGATCATATGTGCATCCTCCTTAGGGCAGGGATTTGTGTTGGTGTGTAGGACTGTATCCTATAGGTTTATACTGTTGAATGGTAATTATCAGACAGTGCCTTTTAGGTTGTTTGGAAGAGTAACATGAAAGTAATGTATTACAACAAGTTATTTTCCCCTGGGAATAATTAAGTAATGTAATGCATTACTTTTAAGAAAAGTGTTCTGTGTAATATGCGTAATGATCCCAATGCTGATCACAGGCAAGGGGAAATACATCCAGCATCCACAAACTTTTGACCACACAACATGTAATTAATTTGCACTAATTTAATGTCTTTGATACACTGCTTAGAGATGATGGTGACTCTCAAAGTGGAGCCAATGAGAAACCAACGAGAATTGATAAGGAATCGAATCAATAAGTGATATCGATAATGGAATCGGAATCGCTAAATTCTTATCAATTCCCATCCATTTTGTTCATGTAAATAGGGAGTCTTTTTCACAAAATTAGTTCCAAAAGATTCTGTGCTGGGACCACTTCTTTTTACATTACGTAAAAATGTAAAAAGATTTCCTAAGGCAATATTAACTTACATTTTCATTGCTATGTAGATGATACCATGGTTTATCTATCCAAGAGAACAGATGACACACACCAATCTTAAAGACAGAACCCTCCCTGAGCCTGGTTCTGCTCGCGGATTCTTCCTGTAAAAAAGGTTTTCTGTTCAAAATGACACCAAGTGTCTCCTTAAACGGTCTTGTTAAACTGTACCATTTATAAGGTTAGGCAAACCTGCAGTCAATTGACACTGAAAAAGTGACTTGTATGAGTGACATAAAACTGATTCTGTTCATCTGGTTGTAGCATTTTCAGAGGGAACTCAGAAAATGCTACAACCAGATGAACAGAATCCGTTTTCTAGGATCCACCACTAAATCCTCTTTCTGCTCGAAAAACTTAAGCTGATTTGAAATTCATAAATCACAGGTGCAAATTGCAAATGGGATTCTTAGTAACTCTTTAAACAAGGTCTTTTATGATCATTTTTAATACATTATTTGAATGTAAGTGCAACATCAGCAGTTGCAGTGGCACTGCCTGTACCATCCCATTGAAAAATGAAAAGAATTATGTCGAAAATATAATAAATCTAATTAAAATCGTTTTTTTCCTTTGCTCTATGACTGATGATGACTTTATTGGCTAAATTCCTATTTTAATCCCAAATTTAATCCTGAGAGTAAAAGTAAAAGTGTGTAAACTATAGTCACTGATAAAGTAAGAATGTCGGCAATTATCCACTTTCTTACTCTATTATATTAATTATCCTTTACAGATCGATAGCCAGTGAGGATGAGATGGCTGCTGTTTCAAAGTCAAGTCCAATCATTGGTTTTCACATCCACCTTCAAAACACCAAGTAAAATCATACTCAGTTCAAGGCTTCACAACAGTACTGTGTATCTTTGCCTAACAAGGACTACAGCAGCCTATGTCAGGCCATCTGTCAGTCAAAAATATTCCCACCATGAATGTACTATAATGGATTAGGCATAGCCACCTAATCTATTCTTTGTTTATCATTTAAATTTGATAGTTGTTGGTCATTGGGAAAGTATAAGGAGTGGCTCACTGGAGTCAACCTCAAGTGGCCAGGAGTAGTACTGCAGTTTTTGGCACTTCTCCATGAGCTTCATTTTTCAGCACCTGGTGCTTTCTGCTTGGCACTCTAATGTCCCATCCATCATTATACTTCAAGTTGAATATGCTGAGCACTCAGCGTGGCCTTCCATTTTTAAGGTAATTCAGGCCAGCAGTGTATTACACAGATGGACTTCATTATAATAGAGCCATCAGCTTTTTCACACCTGCATCTACTTAGTGCATGTAAGGTCATGGAAGTAGGTTTACTTATTCTCTAACACTAAAGCAGACAAGAAAGCCCATGTTTCTCAGCTGGACACGTGAAGGGTATGTTTAGCTGGGGAACTTCAGGAAATCTAGTGACCTTGAGCTTGGTCAGGTCACATGAACATCCATCACAGACGAACAGCTTTGCTGCTGTGCCTTGCTCTAGTGGGAGGGGGGAGGCAGCTTTGGTGTGATAATAAGATGAAAAGTCTGCTGAGTGCAGGCAAGCCAGCCCTGGGTGGAACAGATGGAAGCTCCTTCTTTCTTATGCAATCCAGCACTAGTGAGGCAGAAATGATGACTTTTATGTGACTCCCTGGATGTCGGAGAAAACAAAACGCCTAATGAAGATCATGGGACTAACAGATGAGATTTGTAGGCAGATGGGTAGTGGGAATAACAGGAGGTCAACACCACCCCACCGCATCTCCCATCATGCCTGCTGGCTGCTAGCACTGAGACTAATATGCAGTCGGTCACTTTAAATGATAAACAACACGTATCATGTAATTATGAAACCACACTGGAAATTCTTCTGTACAGTAAGTTGACTGTGTGTGTGTGTGTTTGTTGCCTGACAAACTTTGCTTTGTGAAAGCAATCAGTGGCTCATAGATTCTCTAAATTGACCAAAACAATGAGATTAAACGCGCTGAGGGAAGAACATGCACATGTGAAGGGCTCTGAATAGTAATAATGTTCCAGGAAATGTGCAGGAAAGAAGAAGGAGAGGAAGAAAAAACCCCCACCAGTTTTCCTCAGACCATTTTCTAAAAATAGCTCTTCTGGTGTGACATCATCAGCGCTACGTAAATAAAGTCCAGCTTTACTTCTGTAGTGCAGCAGAAAAATGTTGAAGCCACTTTTTAGCCTCCAGGAGCAGCGCTGGTTGTTTTTGTTGCTGACAACATGCACACACAACATATGCACAGATCAGCATGCATACAGTAAAAAGTGCACTCCTTATTTCTTCCTTCATATGAAGAAATAAGAAACTAGTTCAATTGCTAGGACTTAGCATTCCAAGCACACATTTTCCCTTCTCTTGATTGGATGTTTTTTGCTTCACAGCTTTAACACTTCAGCACATGGGCATAAAATTCCCATATGTACAACATTCAAATAATTACTCACGAGTGATGGTGGCGTCTGTGAATCATGACGGAGCTGGGGACCTCTGTGTCTGGTCTGGGGGGAACAGGAAAGCAGAAAGCTTAGGTACACAGCGACTACCTCACAGTTAAATCTCCTACCCACTCCTTACACACACACACACACACACACACACACACACACACACACACACACACACACACACACACACTGAATTAGTGTGCCACTCATTCAAGCTCAGCAGCAGTTGAGATGATGGCTCACGTACAGCTGACTGGTGATATAACTGCTGCTACACATCGCACCACAAATTCTCCACTTAATTTATATTCATGCAAATAGACTAGAAATGTTTAAAGGACTAGATCCTGTCTATGTAGTCAACATCAGGTCACTGAGGTGCTGACAGAGGATTGGCCTGCTGGTCAATATGAGGGCTGGTCCACACTTCTGATTCAGAGCTGATGAGTCCTGTTACAGTGAAACGACTGTGCAAGTACAGACCTTAATCTCAGTTAATGTGGCTACAGTGAGAGAGCGCTGCATCAAGGAAAAACTAGAAAACCTTCTGTAGATTTCACAGAACTTAAATATAGCATTTAATTTATTAGTAGACTCAATTTGCTTCTCTCAAATGTAAATGACCCACTCACTGTTTTGATCCCACTCGATCTTGTCCGAACATATGGACATAATTTCCTAAGGGATTATGAAAGTAGTCTGATTCTAATGATATAGTAACATTTAACAGTATTCTATAAAAATCCTCTTTTGCCTGATCCTTTTTGAAAATAAAATGTTAGAATAATTATGCAAAAAAAAAAAAAAAATACTCCGAAATACTTTTTCATTACAGTACATGCCTCTCCCTACTATAGGTCGCCTTCTTTTCTGTCTTTGCTCTACTCTTTCCACTCACTCCCAACAGGTCCTAAAGAACGCCCGCCGCTCCCTGAGCCTGGCTCTGCTGGAGGATTCTTCCTGTTAATAGGGAGTTTTTTATTCTCACTTTCGCCAAGTGCTTGTTCATACGGGGTCATGTGATTGCGCTATATAAAGATAATAGAAGTGATGTAGGTGATTAACACTTTGTTTGCAGTCCCTTTGTTTTTTCTTATAGGTATCTTACTGAATATAGACTGCACAGGAGTATTCATTACAAAAGACACTGAGTAATTCCCTTCTGGCTGTGTAATGCACTTGGACTGTCTTGGCAATGTTTTTGTCTTTTCCAAAGTTTTTATGAACTTGTTTTCTCCACATGGCATTTTGAAACTCTAGGTCAAGGAACAGTGTTCAGAAAAATGGAAAAGATGTATGTTTCCATTGACTCTTCACAAGTGCAGCCAGCACCGATGACTGCAAAGTTTTACTTCCCAGTTGAAATTCATCGGTTTTAAGTTGCATTTCTGACAAATGCATAACTGAGCCAGCTATACTTTGATTTGCGATTGAACCCTGACTACAGTGGTTGGGGAAAAAAAAGAGTTACCTATGTATAATCCGTCCAACCAGCTGGTCACATCTTGTAACCTGCTAAACAAAAGATTATCAAGGTAAAGGAATCAGAATGACACAACAGAGTAAGCCTGGGTAGAAATGGTTCCACACCTTTCTTGTGTGCTGGCCCTTTTCTCGTCGAGTCGGGTTAAAAGCTTTCAAGAAAGCAGGTGAGGAAACGCTGTTTTAGCAGGAATGAGGTGACTGCTTCTCAGTGACACCTTCCATTAAAGAGTAGAGCAAGAGTGAAGTTGTGTAGCATTGTGGAAGATATATGCCCCAATCACAGAGTGGGAAAGGGGGGGAGTGAAGACAGTCACAGAAGGCTGGAAATAGGCAGGGGGAGGCAGGTAAATTGCTTAACAACAAAATAAAAAGCTGTACTATCACTCAGCTGATAACAGAACTGCTGAATATGCTTTGTATGTATCACATGCCGCTGTGCTCGGCTGCACATCTCTCACAGGAATACACAATGTGCAGGAATGACTGAACTTCTCTGACATGACAAGAGGCAAGGTAGAAAGAAGCAGTGAAACATCAATCACAGATGAGGCATTTAAAGCAGTTGTCATGACAATAGCAATGGCTGAAAGCAAAGATCCTTTTCTTTCCCTCTCTGGAGACTTGGTGACATTCAAATAGCAGACATTGCTGCAAGTCCAACAGCCACGCCTCGCTTGGTGAACTGTGTAGTTTTAGCAAATGTGTCCGATTCAGGTTGGAAATGTTTTCAGTCTGCTCGGTCAGAAAGAAAGGTGGGGGTATAGGTCGGGGTGTGTTTATCACTTTGATGGATTGCGACAGATCAGTAACAGCATGCTTTCATTGGTGTACATCTGATTCACTACTAGAACCCACAGACACAGACAATCCACAGCATTCTCATAGGGCTACATCACCACTTGTGTTTATCATCAGGAAACAACAACTGCAGAACTGGAAGGGTTATTATTATTATTATTATTATTATTATTATTAAATTCTTTACTTAAACAGATCTCAGTCTCACTGAGATTGAGACCTGTGTGCAAAAAGGCATACACAACAATTGAGACAGACAGCTACATAATAAATGACACATTACACTTGATCACAAATTAAGAAAACAAGATTAAGAGTCAAAGACATACAAGTCTTTAAAAAATCAAAAGAATTCAGCTTCATTGTTTTTTGTAGCTCACTTTAGTTATAGGCAACAAAATATTTAAAGCCAGTTTCATCCAAGTCCAGTGTGAAAAAGAGGTAAACTAAAGTCAAAATGTCCTGCAGCCTGAAATTGTAAGCACTGTGTTTAAACTCAGTCAAGGAGTGGAGGTAAGCAGGCAATCAAGCAATTTTAGGGGCTTCTGTTCTGATGTGTACACTCGGTGCCGTTGGAGGTACAATCTTGTCTTGAATATATACAACTGCAAACCTAACTACAGACGAGTCTTTGGATATGAACGCTGATCTCGAGTTTGAAAATTGAGTACTTCAGTGCTTTCACAGACTGTATAAAAACACGGACATAGCCACCGTGATGTCACTTAGTGAATCACTTTGTGAAGATTTGAGCCGTCACCTTGCGCCACAATCAAACAGTGGATCTGGCTGACAAACAGAGAAGCTTGCAATGCTTAAAGAACGCAACTATTCACTTACAAGTTAGGATTGTCTTAAAGCATGCCCTCCTTTATTGTGCTTTTTGGCTTCATTAGGGACCCTTATTTAATAAAATTAACCCTATATTGTATTTCAGGTTTGAAACTAGCAATTGCGATCACATCTCATTAGCAAAGTGTTTATGGACATCATGCATTAAGGGAGTCGAGGGCTGTTTTCCTACACTTACTTTCAGCTTACCAAGGGGTCACCACAGCGCATGAATCTGCATGTTTGATTTAGTCTAAGCTAAATGAAACATTAATTAATGACAATATAAAAGATTCAAACAATAGATAAATGCATTGGAGGTGGCTGTGATCAGGCGGTAGCACAGGTCAGTGGTTCACTTCCTAGCTGCTCCAGCATGTCAAAATATCCTTGGTCAAGACACTGAACCCCAATGTGCTGATCACTGTGTGTGCACAAATGTTAGCCAGGCTGCTTGGGTATAGGAAAAACACAGAAAATATATAGTTGAACGGTACTTGTAGTAAAAAGGGCTTTGAATACTCAGCTAGAGTAGGCAGAATTGTGTCAGGGGATGACATAATCTTTTGGTTCTGATACTGAGAGCAGCAAACATAGATATGTGGCTGTGAAGCATTCCAAAGTGATTCAGGATGACAGGAGAACAATCAAACCGTGCACATGGGAAGGCCTGTTTGGCCTTCTGTCTTGTGCCGAGATTCCTCAACTGATTCTAATCAGAAATAAGGTTACTCTGTGCAGAAATAACCTACCATTATATAGCAGGAAGAGACATTTATGATTAATATGCCTTCTGGGATAAGTCCAGGTCTTCTTCTGGTCAGTTGATTAAACAATAACAAGAGTAAACAATAACAAACATCAAAAGAAGGTTGCAATATCAATTCAAGAGCTACACAGAAAACGTGACATAGAATCTTAATGTCTTATTTTTTCCATTCTTATTTCTATAGTTTATTTTTACACTAGTCTTATCAGAAGGAGCTCTTAGTCCAGTTTATCTAAATTCCATATGGTTGGTACTAGGGACACGATGCATTAGTCATACTGCTAGGCAAGCATTAGGGCCCAGACATGAGGCCCCTTCTTGATCAGAGAAAAAAGCCTGGGGCTCACAACAGCAACAACATCACACAAACACATAATTCCAGTTACTGCAGTACCCTGCTGGGAGTCAGGAGAACACGAAGCAGGATGGGAAAGAGGCTGTGAAGAGGAAGCTCAATCATGAGGTTCTTTAGTGCAGTAGATGATATGGCAGTTTATTGAGCACAAGCTTTTCTGTGGGAAAAACATTTTGCAGATTGTGTCATTGTTTTGCTAATCACTTCAAGGCAGTAGCAGGAAGGATGGGAGTGAATGCACAGCAATAATGAACTCTGTGTTTGTGTATGAGCACGTGTGCACGAGCATATTCTGGGTGTGAAGGAAAGTTAGGAGCTAAGAGGCAGTTCCATCTCTGCGGTCACTGTCTCCCTCCTCCGGCTGTCTTGCCTCACATCTAGATCAGAGCCCAATCAAAGCTTCTCTACCCAGGATCACATGACCCTTTTACTGTGACTCAGACAAAGTCATTTTTTGTGTGGTGACCCAGCATACAAAATACAACACCGTACAAAAGTAAATGTAACACAACAGGAAAAATAGCCAAGCAATACTATAAAAACGACTAAAACTAACACCTTCTGGAAAGCACCACAGTTTGGAAAACACAATAAATAAAACACAATATAGAATAGTTGGCAAAGCCTGGCGACATAATGTAGTTTCATAAAATCTGTAATTAATATATTAATGCCTTTAGGCCTGTTACTACAGCTTCACACACATTTCCCTCAATGACGTTGCCAATACAACATGTCAAGTATGTGTTGTGTAACACCAAGTGAGAAGGTGGAAGAGATGGCGTGAAATAAATCTGTTGGCTCTGTTAGTAAGCA